GGCATCAGTGGTGCCTCAAGTGCGGCCAAGGCCGGGGAATCATTGGGTATTAATCGGTATTAATCTAGTTTCATCTCCAGCGAAGAAGCAGAGTTTTCTCTGGATCTAGTTATTCTATGTTATTCCAATTCAGCTCATTTCAGGTCTGAATCTACTGCGCTTCAGCGTCGCAAGTTTCCTGCGAAAATCAGTTCTGGCGAGGTGCATAACTTGAATTTGTCGTGCGGATGATAAACTCACCCGTCGGTGTAGTCTCCTGGAAGTGGCTTTGCTGATCCTGATTCTCGAAGCTGTTTCCATCGGTGTGAAACACAAATGGTCAATGAGTCAATAGGTCAGTTTACCAAAGAACCCCATGCCCAGGTCCGAAGGTATCCGAAGGTATCCGAATCCCATACTGCCATGGTTTGCCAATCGAAAAACTCGGGTCTCCTCTCGAACGCGGAAGCGCTTGCAAAGCTCCCGCAGCAATCGCTGATAAAGTGGAGCAAGTTTAGGGATCCTGGTTGGACCCTTAGGATCCGAACTGGGAGAAATCTGGGTCGCCTGGGCCTTCGCGAAAATGCCTTGTTGATGACATGTCTTCCTTACAATGCGCCAAGGGGACTACAACTCTGATGTCTTCTGTCTTCGGTCAAGTATCTCACTTGCGGGTCAATTACAGTAGGTCCTCTCAGGGCTTTTGGCCAACTTGCAATTTACAACATGTTACAACCACTTGCTGCAACCTTCCAGGATCATCCCCATCCCAAGCTTCCCAGGCCATAGAACCAGCCTCAACAACGCACCCTCCGGAGCTTTCAACAGCCTGGACTCCGTCTGTGGTGACTATCCCAGTTACAGGGTAGAAACATGTGTGCTAGGGTCAAAACGTGGTATATGGTTCATGGTCATCCATCCCAATTGAACGTCCTTATAGTGGTATATGAATCCCTATTATATAATATTACTAATGTTACCAATGGACCTCTGAACATCCTCCAATGCGGGTACACAATCCATCTTTTGGCCATGGCTCATATAGATGCCTTGGATGCAACCCGTTTAGAACACACGAAGCAGATTTACCAACCTTTACCGGTCACTTAGCAGTGCAGGTCATGACTGGCTTGCAGCAAAAAGGGGGCACGCCCTGCGCCTCATTATGTCAGATTCAGCTCCAATCAAAAATCGGCGAGACCTCCATGGCGCGGCAGGATCACCTATATCCATCTATATCCCTTACCATCCAAGTGCGGAATAGTTCTGATTGCATGTGCGCTTTGTGGGAAATGTAGATGTGTCGTGTGTATATATATAATATAATGTATATATATATATATCCCCATAATATATATATACACACTATACTAAAACTGATTATTATGTATATTCCTTGTAATGATACCTTGATTTGGATATACCTCACACATGGATAAGATGGATCTTGTCGGTGGCTGATGTTTGCCCCACCTCTTGAAGCAGAGTGCGCGTACAATGTCCGTTCGGTTCCACAGCGCCTGGAACAGAGGCAGCCAAGGGGTTGGACATCCCAAAGAAATTGAATCCCAGGCAATGTATAATATGTCATGATATCCAAACTCTGGAAGTACATTTACTATCATTTACATTCATTTACCGCATCAGACATGTATAGAGTGAAAGTCTGCATTGACCCCTGAAACCAGACTGCCTCTGGGAGGAAAAGATTTTCTTCGTGTACTGGGGGCTCTGGTGGGCCAGCAGGTGTGACCTCAAGTACTGCACAGTGAATAGCTGACAACAGGTTGCACCAACTGTCAAAACTGTAAAGAGAGTTCCAGTGAGTTCCAGTAGGCCTTGGTCCTCCGACACCCAGTTGCTTAAGGATTTCGTGGCCCGGCTCCCTTTGCCACGTCTGCGTCGGTTGCTGCTGTTCCTGCTGTTCTTGCCATTGCTGCGTCTCGCCTTGCTGCGGCCACGTTGCATCTTGTGGCCACATCTGTTGTGGAGCAGGTTGTGGCTCAGGGGGCGCTCCGTTGGGTGCACCGCAGCCGCAGGGCATGGCGTTGTACTGCCAGGTCCCGTCCGCTGACTCTGTCCATGAGTTCCAGTTCTGCCAGGGAGCCCAGGTGTGGCCCTCGATCTGGGGGGCTTCACACATCATGGCAGGCTGGGTCATGCTTGCCATGGTTGTCTGGGACATCCCGGTGTGCGGTATGGCCTGAGGCATGCCTTGAGGAACGGCTGCTTGAGGCATCTGTGCTTGTGGCACCTGTGGCACCTGCATGGGCGGGCACATTGGAGCAGCTTCCATCAGGACCTGCTGGTAGAAGGGGTCGGAATCCTGCGTCCGCCAAATGGCATCGGAGCCTGCCAAGCAGAAACTTTCTGGTCGGCACCCCTCCGCCAACAGTTGAGAGGCCGCCAACAGTTGAGAGGCCTGAAAATTGCATAAAATTACCCCCATTCCATCCATGGTGAATCATCATTTTCCCAACATAAAATAGCGATATAGGTGTGTCTGAAAATGGGGTATATCACCATAACATTGTCATTTCATGGGAACATGATGATTAATCAGTGAGTTTGGGGTTACACTGTACACTATCTTCAGACACACCCATTGAGGTATCCAAATCATTTTCATCCAGCCCCAAGATCAGCCAAACACACGCACCTGGCGACAGCGCTCCCATGTCCATATCCTGCTTGAAGGCTTTGGATACCAGCAAAAAGATACGATTGTTCAAAACCAGTCAGTTTGAGCAAAATTGTTTATGATTGTTTAACATGTACAATATCAGTGTAAAGTAATGTCATGTACTGGTTGCAGTGCAATCCAATGCAATGTCATATGAGTCATATGTCATAGGTGTCATGTGTCATGTGTCATGTCATATTGTGTCATATCTATGCTAGGCATGGATACAGAAATATAGATTGACCCGTATCCAGATCAGCCCATGGGTGTCCTGCATGAGTACTTCGCTTTCGTCACCGCTGTCGCCTCCCCACCTGTGAAGTGCTGATTGGGTCTGGTATCAATAGATGCAAACCCTCCAAAAGATAGAAGTTAAACTTGCCACTATATAGTCACTATATCCATTATGACTATTTCAGTAGGATTTTACATCTTTCATCTTTCCACCTTTTCGGAGGTTTTGGTAAAGGAAAATTGCAGGAAATTGTGGCATTTGGAACCCGCCTCTTGTTGGCGGAAGGGGGCGCGCCCAAAGGCAACCCAACAGCAGGAGTGCGCACTTGCGTGTTCTTTTCTTCCTGCAGCGACAAGGAGTTCCCTGTGTTTCGTTTTCCAGACAATTGGTCCCTGAAAAATTGATGCTTAAGAAAACCATATATATATATATACGTATAATTACAACATGGGTTTTCCAGTTCTTTCCCATTAGAATCTACTAGAAAGTCCATCCAAATAGCCATAAGCGGCAAATCTCTGCGCCTGTTGGTCGGAATCGACACCCAGGAGACGCTGAAGGAGACCATTGGTTTCGTCGTTGCCTGCCGCTGAAGTCACCGCAAAAAGGTGGAAAAATCATGGGTTTTACCATGGTTTTACCATGGTCATGACCCCCAAATCAGAATCTCATGGCCAGGCCTCCATCGTTGTCCGTGGAGTTCGAAGGCCTACAGTCAGCACGTCACATCACACAAGAAATGCCAATGCCACGATGCATATCTATGTTATGAATTGTTATGATGCGTGCAATTCCATGTGTTCTGTGTCATTTATATTTAGTATATGTGCATACTGTATATACATATATAGCAGAATATACAAATATCTGTCCAAGAAAGTGTACGTACGTACCTGTTTGTTTTTTCTTTAATCCTCCTATGTCGACTGCACATCTCCTGCAGCAGTCATGTGGGGGTGCAAATTGGCCAAAGTGGAGCACCATAGACAACCCCACAAATGCTGGTTATTCTATGTTATTTGTTGATATGTGTTGTACTACTGAAGATGCTAACAAACCTGTGCTGTTGGCTATGTCTTGTTCGAAACAATCCATTTTGGGTGGTGAGGAATCTCCTGTGAAGACTGAAACAGTCCTGAGCTCCCAGACTGTTCTGCGGACTCGGTTGGGCTTAATTCGTTGTTGCTTGGTGACGAGGAATCGCTCACTGCTACCTGGCCCCGTTGATGTTGGCTCTGCAGCCCAAACATGCCCGACACACAGCAGCTTTGGTGCCACAATGTGCCACTCTTCTATCACAACTCCTATTTTCATTTTTGGGTTTGGCAATAAGTCCAATGACAGGAACATTTCCACTCCGTGAGCCCTTCACCTGCCGGTCCATTGGCTTCTCTTCAATCGATTTCGTGGGCTTCTCGGGTAGGGACATGCTTCTACGGCGCCTGCCAGGACCGCAGGAAGGGAAGCCTAAATGACCCTGCAGAACGCCCCAAAAAGGAAGATATTTTGATATAGGGATATACAGTACAGGCTAGATTGATGTAGATTGGGATGTTCATATGTGATTTATGTGGATTTATGTGTTGAACATACTCCAAAATAAATGATACTCGAACGACGTGTGTAGATTTGTGCAGGGCAACTCCCCAAAGATTGCAAAATCAGTGCCTTCACTTTGGCTTGAGCCAGCCACACATGGGAAATACTCTGCCGTGATGCACCATGCTGCGGGGCCATGGGTCTGCCAACCCATCTTCCCTTTGCTCAGGAGGCACCTTCCCCATTCACCCAGTCCATCGTCATCTTCTTCGATGTCAGCCTTTACCTGTATCTGTCACAAATGAAATGTCAGCATATAATCCTGGGCCACAAACCAATTTCAGAGAATGTTGCAAACTAACATAGACGATCGTACCATTCGTCGTACCATTCCATGATCGGGTACACTCAGCGCATTTCCAAGGCTCAAACCTCCGTCTGCAGGGTTTGTACCTTCAACAAATGTCAAACAAAATTTGAAGGCACTGTATGGCACTGTGACTTACAGCCACTTTTTTGTCAGTCTTGGCTCATTAACGATCTCATTCTTGGGGTACCAAACCAACCCATGCTGCTGGGTTGGCCCCCAGTTCGGACGTCTGGGTTTTGTCTGAAAATTACCGAATCCTGTGGTTTATCATTGTTTCCAACTAAAAAAATGGCCGTTACATGGATTTGTCTGAAAATATGGTACCCCCAAATCCATTGCTTAATCATCATTATCCAAATTGAAGTGGTTTTTTCAGAGAAACCCACATTTGTAGGTCAATCCACCCACGGACCCACACATCAAAGCCTCCAGTGGCTCAAAGTCCTCGTCATCCACAATATCGGCCCAAGGCCTAAGATTTCACACCAAAACGGGCGCCGAAGATCAAGGCCTTCTGGCTTCGATGTATATAGACAAAGACTGTATATATGGTGCAGCGTTGGCCACCCCCCCTCCCCCCCCCCACCAATGGGTATGGGTGGACAGTATCGTCTGGTTTTTCTGGCCCCCCCCCCCCTGTGGCCTGTGGTGGTGGTATGGTTCTTCTGGTCCCCCCCCCCCCTGTGGCCTGTGGTGGTGGTATGGTTCTTCTGGTCCCCCCCCCCTGTGGCCTGTGGTGGTGGTATGTTGGTATGTTGGTATGTTGGTATGTATGCTGGTATGTATGTATGCTGGTATGTATGTATGCTGGTATGTATGTATGTATGTATGTATGTATGTATGCTATGTATGTATGTATGTATGTATGTATGTATGTATGTATGTATGTATGTATGTATGTATGTATGTATGTATGTATGTATGTATGTATGTATGTATGTATGTATGTATGTATGTATGTATGTATGTATGTATGTATGTATGTATGTATGTACGTATGTATGTATGTATGTATGGAATGTAAGGTAAGGTAAGGTAATGTAAGGTAAGGTAATGTAAGGTAAGGTAATGTAAGGTAAGGTAATGTAATGTAATGTAATGGTATGTATGTATGTATGTATGTATGGAATGTAAGGTAAGGTAATGTAAGGTAAGGTAAGGTAATGTAAGGTAAGGTAATGTAATGGTATGTATGTATGTACGTAGGTATGTAGGTAGGTAGGTATGTAGGTATGTATGTATATACACCACCACAGGGGCATCATACCCCCCCCCCATCCCCTTGGGGGGGGGGTGGGAACACGGGACACGGGACCATATATAGGAGGAAAATGAAGGAAAATGAAGGAACATGGAGGAAAATGGAAGAAATGGAAGAAACAAATAGAGAATGAGAGGAAAAGAGAGGATGATGAGGATGATGATGCCGATGACACCACATGGACCCATAACATGATGCCGGTACCTGCCTGTCCTCAAACCACGGCCCAGTGAGATTGAACCCCGGATCGTCAGGGGGGAGTATAAGTCATAAAGTTTCAGGGAATCCAACGGTCCAGGTCCTTGCCTATTCCTTGCTAAGGACAAGCTAGCTTTCGCGGCTTTCGTTCAAACACATCTCAAATTGACATCCTTTCTGTATGTAATGTAATGCAATGTAATGTAATTTAATGTAAAGTAATGAAATGTAATGTAATGTTAATGTAATGTAATGTTAATGTAATGTTAATGTAATGTAATTAATGTAATGTAATGTAATGTAATGCAATGTAAAGTAATGAAATGTAATGTAATGTAATTTAATGTTAATGTTAATGATAATGTTAATGTTAATGTAATGTAATGCAATGTAATGTAATGTTAATGTCAATGTTAATGCTAATGTTAATGTAATGTAATGTAATGTAATGTTAATGTAATGTAATGTAATGTGATGCAATGTTAATGTTAATGTTAATGTTAATGTAATGTTAATGTAATGTTAATGTAATGTAATGTAGTGTAATGTTAATGTAATGTAATGTAATGTAATGTTAATGTTAATGTAGTGTAATGTAATGTTAATGTTAATGTGATGTAATGTAATGTTAATGGTAATGTAATGTAATGTAATTTAATGTAATGTAATGTAAATGTAAATGTAAATGTAATGTAATGTCATGTTAATGTTAATGTTCATGTTAATGTTAATGTTAATGTAATGTTAATGTAATGTAATGTTAATGTTAATGTAATGTAATGTAATGTTAATGTAATGTAATGTAATGTTAATGTAATGAAATGTACTGCAATTTAATGTAATGTAATGTTAATGTTACTGGTATGGTAATGTTAATGTAATGTAATGTAATGTAAATAATGTAAATGTAAATGTAAAGTAATGTAATGTAATGTAATGTAGGTACTGCAATGCAATGCAATGCAATGTAATGTACTGTACTGTAATGTAATGTAATGTAATTAATGTAATGTGATGTGGTGTGATGTGATGTAATGTAATGTAATGTAATGTATGTATTACTGTAATGTAATGTAATGTATTGTAAATGTAAATGTAAATGTAAAGTAAAGTAATGTAATGTAATGTATGCAATCTAATCCAATCTAATGTATGTAATGTATGTAAGGTATGTAATGTATGTAATGTATGTAATGTATGTAATGTATGTAATGTATGTAATGTATGTAATGTATGTAATGTATGTAATGTAATGTAATGTAAAGTAATGTAATGCAAAGTAAAGTAAAGTAATGTAATGTAATGTAATGTATGTGATGCAATGTAATGCAATGCAATGCAATGTAATGTAATATAATGTAATGTGATGTGATGTGATGTAATGTATGTATTACTGTAATGTAATGTAATGTAAATGTAAATGTAAATGTAAATGTAAATGTAAATGTAATGTAATCTAATGTATGTAATATAATGTAATGTATGTAATGTATGTATAGGTCCAGATACTTAACTTGATGAAACACCGCTTGGGGCCAGACGCAATCGGCGCTGAGAGCGGTTTCAGCTGCATGGACCGCGGTGGTGACGAGGATGGCGGGGATTTTGTGGACGGCAAAGGTGCCGAATGTGCCTTTTGCAGCCTCGGGGTCTCAGGCTGGTCCAAAGATGGAAGGAAGACCCCAAGAAAACCAACATCCAATGGTTAATCCAATGTTTAATCATCATGTACCCCTAGCAAACTTGCCATTTTGGATCATTTTGGCATATTTTGGTCCCCCAGTCTTGGACGAACACCTGTGACCGGGGGAAACACTCATGTTCCCGGTGGGAATAGTTCTGGTATTTGAGCTGGTGAATCGTGCCAGGGTGAAGTGTGGCCACGGGTCCAAGTGCTGGAGTTTTATTTTGAACAGGGTGGTAGGATTAATTCGCATCAATCATCCAAAACTATTCCTTGAGAAAGGGCCGATGATGACTGTCACATTTCAACATCGTTTAAGGATTTAGCAACTCCTGTAGGTGCTGGGCCACGGCCAAGTGCTGGAACGAGTGCACACGGGCTAGCAAATTGGATGGTTGCATACATCATCATACATCGGAATACCAAAAGTGATCAAGGGGTCCAAATCCATCAGTTGATAATTTTGATAGGCAAAATGATGAGCCATGCCCATACATACATACACATATACATATACATAGGGCTACCCCCAAAATGCCAAACCACTGGGATGTGGACTCTTCAGGCTGTTCCTCCTCGCTTTCCTGCCAGTCATGGGACGATCTGAGTGGTGGCTACAACTCATACTACTTACATATATATATACACGTACGTATACAGTACATATATGTATATATATCATATATACATACTCTCAATCAGACTCATATGTATGTATGATTTGATTATACCATATTATACCACTCCAAAAGCCAGTTCCCAACCACTCACCGTCTCCCACCTCTGGCATCGTTTCCTCGACTCGAACCTCCCGGGCCTGGGGTCGACCTTGGCCCCGGAGTTCCACTGAATGGGGCCATATCTACAGGGATTCTGTCCCAACTGATGGGGAATATTGCAACCATGGTTGTATCCATGAATAAAAACATCTAGAATCTAGAATCCTCATGTAATAAGCGTCCAAAAGAAATCGTCAGAACACTCATCGACATCACATATGACCATCAACCAACTTGTGGAAAAAAGATCAAAAAACGGGCTGTGGCGTAAAGGTCACAGACTCCCATCAAGGCCCTTGCCACGATCGTTCAAGTGAACCTGAAAGCTCACGGGCTTAGACACTTCTCCTCCATCGGGCAAGTCCTGAGTTGGTCGAGGAGTGCAGTTCTCCATCTTCCACCTCTCAGAACGGCTATGATGAAAGTAGCACTTTGAAGCCCGCATTTTAAAATTTGTCAAACACCTTAGGAACTCAAACTTCCCGCGGTTGCATGATTTCTGGAAGGTAAAGGTATGTAAAGGTCATGGTATGGTCATTGTACACATGTGCCCAGTCTTGAATTTCGTCAAAACTCAGCAGCCCCAGCTGCTGAAAGACCCCCTTAGGATCCAACTGACTTTGTAATGTACACATCCCGGTTGTACAACTCTTGCGTACGCTTGCACTTGATGAAGCCATACCTTGGCGTTACGATTTGTTTGCGAAGACAAGAACATGTGCACCGTGATCATCAGCGAACCTGCAAATTCGATTTAAAGCAACGTACAGTAAAACAATGTAAAACATAGAAAAGCCTTGACTAGCACGAAAAAGTGAAACAATACCTGTGGCACTTGTCTGTCAGGAGTCCAGCACGTGTACAGCATCATACACTGGGTCACTACCGTATGTACCCATCACACAAGTTGCTTCCTCACGAGATCAGCGCTAGTTGTTGGCATCAACAACAGCAACACAAGCATCATCATGATAAAAAATCAAATACATGTTCAATCATTTGTATATAAGTATCATCATACATAAACAACTGATCCTTGGATATCCTTGGTGTTTCTTCATATTTTTTCGGTAGCATCGCTGGTACATCGACCGCAGCTGAGGGATCCAACGTATCCCCCATGCTCTTGAGGAGGCCATAGTATCGAATCGAGGCCTGAACCAGCCGAGGGGAACACAGAGTCAGCGTAAGTTCAGTGATCGGCTGATCAGCGAGTAGGAAAACAATGGGAAACCGTGGTGAAGTGTAAGGAAAGGTATGTCATCCAATCTTCATCCAATCTTCATCTTCTTCCTGCTTCTCTCCATGACTATTCTGACTATTCTGACAGTCTCGACGGCCTCATCTTCGCCTGACCTTGGTGCCGTTCCGATGAAATCGATGAACTGCAAAGGCTGCATGTGGATATATGATGATATATGTGGATCTATGTGGACTTACCATGATTTATATGAATTACACTTGACGTATCTCTCGGAATCCTTCGGAATCTGGGTCCAGGATGTCCAGGCCCCTGAGTTCCACACATCTTTGTCAGGATAGGTCGAACTTGCTCCGACCACCCGTTCCAGTTGGCACAGCTGGACCGTGAAATCAATGTACTAAATAAAGGTCTCCAGCTTCACGTGCCCATCTGAGCCAAAAAAAAAAGCATGACACCTTGTTTCCCACTAGCACAGTCTGCATCAGTCTGCAGGTTGCTGCAGCTCTCGAAGAGCTACCAAATCTGCCAACAGCCAATTCAGAACGATTCGCAGAAAGCGTTTTATGAATTCCATGCACCAAATGCGTTGCCTAATTCTCTTGCTTCAGCTATCCCACTACCCCCCAGTGGCAAAATAATCTGAAAAGCTATAATATAGTAACATATAGTGAATCTTGGGATGTTCCATTCCGCCTACTCCAGGATCACAAGTGATCTCACATCAAGGCGCAGTTATGAGTTCTTACCTACCTTCGATATTCTTCGATCACAGCCACCAGGATTTTCAACCAGTTAAACATGGTTCGCAGGACCCCCTCACACATCACCAACAGCTGTAAGCTTTTGTCGAGCCGGAGTGGTCAGGCGAAAAGGTGCACACGGCAGCGAAAATGCAGGCACCAACAGGTGCCAATCCGTAATCCACAGTACTTGGCGCGAAAAGCATCGAAAAGCTACGGCCTCCTTTCAGTCATTCATAGGATTGATAGTAGTATGTTCTCAATTTCAACCAAGTGTCATCAATTTTCATTGCAAGTCAAAAGTACTTTGACACTGTTGACCTTTTGTGAGTAATTACAGTATCTGCTAGTCATAATCACCCGAGGAGGCACCGCAATCAATCCTTTTGCCTACGATCCAAGAGGTATGCAAATCTATCCCCGGTTTCACATCTGGGTCTGACCTTGGGGACATGGCACAAAAATGCACAAGATCTCCTCGCTGCTGCCTGGAAATACTCTGCAGCAGATCTGGGCAAACCGAAATTCAATTCTATGACGGGGTCGGAAAATTTCTAGCCGAACTGGAAAAAGAATTCTGGTTGCAAGCCGTGGGAAGACCATGTTTGTTCCGTATTCTTGAATTCCAGTCTCATTTCATCTTATTTCTCAGTAATGGTCCCATAGTTGCCATATGCTGCCATACTTCATCATATTTCCGTTGCTTCTGCACAGATCCTGGCAGAAATGGTGGGGCTGGGTTTCTGGCGCCTGTGAAGCGTGCGATGATGTCCTGAGACTTGGATTGCAGTTGCCAAACCTCTTGGACATCTGCAGGTTGGTGGTCCAAAAACCCTATTCCAAATGGATGAAAAATCGATCCCAAAGATTGGCAAAAATCTTCTTATAAGAGTATATCTTTTAGAATGATCATGAGGGGTTGAGGATGGAAATAATTCAGAATGCAGTGAAATGCTCGAAACCACCAAGCAAGTCGGGACTTGAACCCTTGAAGCGGAATCTGGCAGCGTGAAATTTGTGCCACTTCAACCCGCCAAGCCACAGCAAGCCGCGTGAAGAAACCACTCCTGTGCGAAACCAAGTCCAATGACCAAAATCCATCAAAATCGTTGGTTGATGCACAATCCAATGATGTCCAATGTTAAGGAAGGCTGCTGACGACATCAAACGGCTGTTTTTTTTTCAAGAACAAGGCTGTGGGATCCTTTCTGCGAACATCACAAGGCTGGCTTTGCGGCCCGTCTCCTGTCCAAGATTGGATTCATGTGGCCCGTCACGATGCAGTAATTCGTTTCGAAGGGCGGCTTATGATGCCGCAAATGCGCGCTGCGGTGCACCAAGATTCCACGGTCTTGCAACCAGTTCACCACAGGATGGCACTGAGAACGCAAGGTGTGGCTCCACTTGTGGAACCTGGGCTGTTCCCACATCCCATGGGTCATATGATTTACACTGTTTGCACTGTTGCCAAACTATACTGTAGACTCTACACGTTAGGATTTTTCCGGGTACTTCAAAATATCACAGAATTTGCCAAACAATCTATTCCGGATCCTCAAGGGATACCCAGAAATGTTCAACATGTCAATTCTTAATCAATCTATTCATCAATCTATCTACCCTTCTGTCCATAATAGCAAAGTGTCGCGTTTCATTCCTTTGACGCCAATTTGGTGTTGACAGGCGAGCCAGCTTAGTCAAAAAAATATCATTCCTTAAATACCATGAAAACACCACCCCGGAGCACCGCCAAAACACCACAGAAATACCACCAAGACATGAGCAAGACACCGCATTACCGAACACTGTCAAGACACTACGGACACACCACCAAAGGGCCACCAAAGCACCCACGACCACCGAAACACAATTGAGAGACCACCAAGACAAAAACATGTTACCAACATACTACGTCATAATCAATGTTTACCATCACCATCTTCTCGCATCACCATCACTGTTATCGTCAAAAGAACAACATCATCATCATCATCATCACCACAACAACAACAACAACACCAGCAACAACAACAACAACAACATCATCGCCATAATTCCATCATCATTTTCTTCTTAATCATAATTTTGTTCATCAACCATGCCTGCATCATCACCACCAAAAATACTAATCCTCCACATCCTCACTTTTCATGTACGACACATTCCAACTCGTGTACAGGTGCAGGTGGACATGATCTTCTTTAACACATCTACAAAATGTCATGGTTATACACAAGTGTAGATGCAAGTATATATATATACACTTATTGGCGCTTTGGTGCAGGTACATACATGCAGGTGCATATTTCTTTAAAACACAACTACCTACCACATGAACATATTGTGCATTGCGGCAGATACATAGGCGCAGGCGGAGGTCAACTTCCTAAAAAAACACCAGGGAGTTGATATATTAAAGTGGCAGATGTGAAGATGCAGGTGGAGATCAATTTCTTACTGTAAGCACACCTACAAGTTCAAAAGTCTTCTAAATTTTCTCTTAGGACGGCAGGGCGGCGTGGACTGGTGTCCACGAAACACAACCCCCTCGCACGAAGTGTTGATCGCCAAAAAGTGAAATTAAATTGCGATGTGGATTTGCACTGGGTCAACCCGTTCCCACAAAATGCGTCTCGATCGCCAAAAGCTGCGGTGAAATTGCGGTTTTACATCTGCTTGCTGAACTCTTGTAGCGCGAAATGCGTGCCCGCCGTTGGAAATCATGCAAAAGTATGCCTGTGTAAAAACATCAGTGCATAAAAGCTCCTCGTGTAGATCCACTCCTTTGTAAAAGCACCTCTGTTTGTAATGGTATCTGTGTGTAAAGCTGCTCAGTGTCAGAATCAAGATGACCTTGTAGGCACCAGCGGCTTTTGACCTTGGCAGTTGTTGGGTCGTTGGGATCAACGTGATGGTTGTCTTCAAGAGGACGATGACTCTAATCCCTTTTTATGGCTTCTGCTCGCATAGCATAGTGCACTTTGATGGCTCCCTTCTCTATGAGCGTTTGCCACCCTGAGGTCTTTGATTCATCTACCAGGTGTTGAAGTGCTGGATCATTGTTACTGGGAGGACTCTGCTTGGATGTTTTCTTCTGCAAATAGTTGGCTACGAAGGCTTCACATGTCGGATCTTCTTGCCACTGCGGCATGAGATCCGAAACCTCTTGAACTGACAACACTTCTACTGCTGAATCTACTTGGGCTGACAAGGCATCAGTCCTGGGACGAACGGTGGGTGGCTCTTCAGCATTTTCACCAGCTGGCACAACCTCCTCATGTCGTCTTTTCTGACCAGCCTGTGCCTGATCTCCCTCTATACTAGCCTCTACCATTCGGGGACCAACTTCCCTTAAGCAGTTCCAACTTCACTTAAGCAGTTCCACAACATCATCTTGGAGCATGGCTGGAGGTCGGAAGAGCGCTGCAGGACCTGAGTTACCTCCAGCTCTACGTCTGATGGGACCATACGTGGAGGGTTCGGATGGAGAACTGGCAGTGCTGGTTACATCTTCCATAGGGGGGTTGTCTTTGATTTCGGGACTATCTTGGGGTTTATCATGACTTGAGAAGCCTTCACCAGGTGGCTCGGCAGTGGGCATTGCTACATCTGGTGGGTCGCCAACCTCTTCTGGCTTGTGCGGTGTCGACGCATTGGCAACTACAGGCGCACTGGCGGGTGCTGCGACAGCTCCACTGGACATGGATGCTCCCTCTGGTGCTGGTGCTTCTGTTGGGTAATGACCAGAAACTAAGTCAATGAAGTTGGAACCCTTGAAAGTACCGCCCTCAATCATATCTTTGATGCCTAGCAGTTCCGATTGGGGCGGTTGAATCAGAATCTTTTCTTCTTCCGTGGCTCTTCGGAGTTGTTCTGGCGCTACCGTGAGGATTTGTCTATGATGAGCTACTAAATGGTTCTTTCCAACTGACCCAATGATCACGGCCGTGCCTAGCTGTACCATACCATCTACCCCCCAACTGAACTTGCCCTTGTTGGACTTTTTGTGCTCTCCAATAGGCTACGAAATCTCCTGACGCATACACGGGAGTGACCCTGGGTCGAGCTGCCAGAGCCCTGCACAGTGACTGGTCGTCCTGCATCTCCAACATTGCTCGCTGTGCTGCCATTCGGATGGCCTGAGACCGAGCGAGGGCAGAATCGGACAGGCTTGCAGTGGCTGGAACTAGATGCAGGGGTTCATCTAAAGGTTTGCTGGCACTATTGGGTTCTTACCAAACACAGTCACTGGACCATTTGATTCTTCACATGAGCATGTAACACACATTCCTCCCATTCATCTTTTGTGGATGGTGAAAACTCTGCAATGGTTCGACATAACGTGCTAACCAACCTCCATGGCGCTCGGCGCGAGCTAATTGCCAGTGCCAGTGTGCTTCTGCAGCTGTGGGTTTGACTTCGATCCCTTGGGAGTCAAGATATTGTTGAAACGGTTCACCCAGATTGGTCTCGGATGTCTCGGTTTGATGAAATGGCAGCATCAGTTGAGACTTGCTTCCATGGCACACTATGTTCAAGGCCTTAACTTTTTGATTCATACGCCAACCCTGCAAATTCTTGACATCAATGCCTAGCCGATACCACTTCATTAAACTCAGTGACACGAGAAGACTTGGACGGCAAGGGCACGTGTGGCCGGACATGTGATCGGCAAAAGCCACAGGTATGCTTCCTGGCAAACTCTAAGGCTTTATCGGAAGCCCGTCCATGTTTCAAAATGCGCGCCATGTCATGTGTGGGTGGATGGCCTAAGTTTCGGTGAAGCAAATCCACAGCTTTCTTGCTGTCCTCATCCGAGGCTTCCTTGCTCAAGGCATCTTTGACTACCAAATCCTCTTGTTCATGTTGAGACGTCCATGGCAGGCACTCCACACACTGATTCTGGGACACTTCACGAAAACTTGGCACCGTCTCAAAGACTGCTCGGACAAAAGCTGGAGTGTATCGGCCGGCATGGGTGCTGATCTTTCCAACTCCCTTACAGGAACCAGCAACGGGCTGATGACACAAATGCTTCGGATGTTGGGACCCAGGACATTCCTTGGCTAACACAGACATGTCATCATCACTTACCAACAGGTGTGTGGCCTTCTTAATCAACTTATATATCATCTTTAGGACTTTAGGAAGTCGGAAACCATACCTACACATGTGGCATGAGAGCAGCTTGAACTGACGGATGAGGGCCCTCACTTCGGTGTAGGTCCGCAGGCGTGAGCCCTTTGGATGCTCCATCAGAACACGACCACTGTTGTTCAAAAAGCTTGCAACAAAGACGGATGAACATCCTGCTACGTTGCACCCTTCTGACATACTCGGAAGCATCCATGTGGAGTGAGTTGAGGTTGAAGCAACCTCCCTCGTCGGCGCATGGAGGACACAAAATCAAGAGATTTGGAGGATTTTCGCGAAGCTCCTTGGCTACTTGGTCACGATCTGATGCTCTGGTGAAATCAAAACCTGTCTGCAAATTGTATGACTTACCCATGGCACCTACAGCTTCAGCCAGTGGAGCGAAACGAGGTGGACTAAAAACTTCAGCCGCCAAAAATCTCTTGCCATGCGTCATGCTATGAGGTTCACTCACGGCTCGACCTACTTGGGATTTCAGCTGTCTCAGGTGATGGACAGACAATTGCGCAGCCACACTCTGTTTCCCCTGAGGCGTGGAATGAAAACATGACTGTATGTGCATCACCTCTTTGGGGATCGGATGCTTGTAGAGGGATTTGCCCTTTTGGGGATCAATGACTTCATCAGCTAACACGGTTCCCGCCTTAACAACGCCCCACTGCATTCCACAATGGGCCCGCTTTCCCAGTACAGGCATCTGTGCAATATATGAATCATGCTTTACCCATGTCTGCAGAGGGCCTGGTGACGTCTCGTATGGACCAGACTGGCGGCAGGCTAGCTCTGGTTGTTCAGCGGAGCGGGGATCTATGGGCTCATGCTCATTCTCAGGCACTTGGTATCACTTGGTCAAGGTCAGCAGCTTCCTTCACCTCAGGGACCAAGTCATTCTGAGAAGTGACGGGCTTGTCTTACAACTGCATCAAACTGTACCTCGGCAGAGTCATCGGAACCCATCAGGTTCACCACAAACTGACCAGCACTATTCGTGACTAGTGGAAAAGGTGTGGCACCATCGAAGACTGTCATCTGTTGTCGGTCAAACTTGATCGCCGCCTTGAGAGTTTGTAGTTTGTAGTACCCCTTGTGAGAACAGCAAAGGAGCTTTGCCATGCACCACAGCTGTACGAATGGTACCCGATCTACCTCCCACTTGAACAGGCATTTTGACTACGTATCGAAATGTCTGCCTCTCCCCATTGCCATAGCGAAAATGATCGGTTTCTTCAATCTTGCTTGGACAGGAAATACCTCGCTGCTTCCAAAGCTGTTCAAGCTCGAGCAATGTTTCTGCGCCAATGATTGATTTTCCACAGCCAGAATCAAGCCGTATCCTGGAGAACTGACCAGGAGCTGTTCCTGTTCAGCAACTGCGAAGGATTCCATCCATCTCAGAGAAGCGATCCAGTTTCATCGCATCTCGTTTGGCTCGAAGTCTGTTCAAAACTGAGGGACACACGCCGACAGCCGCAATGACATGTTCCACTTCCGGGCTCGTTGGAGTTTATGGAGTTCCTGTCTTTTTCTTTCCAGCTCACAGCTAAGGCTTCTGCAACATCGGCCTCTTCGAAGCATTCGATGTCGTCGCCAGTGGGTTGATCATGGTCAGCTAAATAAAAATTGTTCGATCTCATGGGTGTCCAGATCAGCTTCATCATCATCACCAGCGCCCTCATCATCCAGTTGATGGTGTTCGACGACGGCCACAGCGTTGGTGCATCGCTTGGCACATGCAAACTCTGGATACACTGAGCGCATGGCTCTGCCGATGCTCTCACGTTTGAGATCACCTAAACTTCTAGTTAAGCATACTGCCTTCTGCTCTTCGTTCATTCCAGATCTTTGCAAAATCAACCAACCTTGGGCTTCCTCAGGAAACGTGACAGATGCCTTCCGACGGCACCTGTCGAACATCTAAGTGGCACGAGATAGCCAAAACTTGACACCCTCGCCTTCTGCCGCTTTCAGAGAAAAGATCTCGGTGAGAACCTCGGACGTTTCATCAGACTGATCACGCTGCGGAAACCGCCCATCCAGAGTTTTGAAGAGTAGCAGTTTACCACCTTCACCTTTACTCAGTGGGCTCAACATCTTCTACACATTCCAAAGCCTTTCCAGCTAGACATGTGAACGCGTATGCACCCGAGCCGACTCCGGCACCTTCTCACCTAAAGTCAGCGACTTGTTCTGAATCCATACCTTCCATCGCTTGTACTCCTTTGGATCTTCATTGTCCCCCGTGAAAACACGGGTACATGCAGCATCTGTCGTGGACGAGTTCATGGCCAATCCGGCACGGAATCCTATCCTGCCGGAGACCGGAGCTCCGCGCTACCAATTACAAAATCGCGGGCGAATCCTACCACCTGACACCAGGGTGCGAACCCTTTTCATCCTCAGCCGAAAACGCTCCCTGAATGACGGGAGTGGAGTTTGAGATTTACCTGACATGCCAACTGGAGTTCATGGCCATGCAATTGACATATATATATATTATACATATATGATCATATATGTATCCAACCGTCAAGACCTCATAGAGATGCCTATCCAATCTGACAAAAACCAAGTTGCTCCTGGCAAAAGGCAATGCCCGCGCAAGCCACAACGGCCTGGCTCTGTTGACACTCCTGTTGGTTGATGATTTACCAACATTTATTGGGGGATATGGGGGAAATAATCCAGAAATCCGCCCGCACCGAAGGTGCTGGGGCGTGATCTTCCGGATGGCACTCGTAAAAGGTTACAGGTTTACCTGGGGGGGGGGTATTTTTCGGCCAAAACCTCCTGTTTTTGATAGGTCGTGACGCTCGCCTTCAAAAAACACTGTAAAAAACAGTACGGAAGACACCTGTTCGTGAACGCGCCCGTCCAAAATCGGCAAGCGAAAAGTGAAAAAAACCCGTGTTTTTCAACTTTTTGACCTCAATTTTTTGGTTTGCAACATCTTTTCTTGCGGTTCCGCAGGTGGCCGGGCCCGGAGGCGGATTTTTGAGTTTTTGGACCCGTTTTCGGACTGATTTTCGTCGTTTTGTGACAGCAGAAACACTGGTTTTTACAGTGTTTTTCTGTTTTCTGCATGCTTGACGGCTAGCTTCAAAACTTCCGAAAACCTCGTAAATTACGCTGTTTTATGTTACGGTGTGAATGAAAACATCGTAAATACCAGTGTTTTTTGACGTTGGTTTAAAAAACACTGTAAATCCGCCCACACCGCTTTGGCGGTGAAGGCGTGCTTATTGGGGGGCAACAGCAACACTAAATGCTCAATGACATTTGTTAATATAGCAGTCGCTATATCAGCTTTAGCTGGGGGGGGGGCAAAAACGGTTTCGCACCGAGACCAGACCCCAAAAACGATTTCGCACCGAGACCAGAATACGGTGGTGTTTTCGACATTTTTCGAGGATTTTTGGGTGTCTGAGCGCAAGAGGGTATTGAAATGGAATTTTGGGTCATTTTGGTAGCTTTCCGGCAATGGAAAAACGGCCAAAAATGAAAAAACATTGTACATAGCAAGATTTTGCAGGGTTTTTGGATGCCAGAGCATTGAAAACACTGCAAAAACAAGTGTTTTGGACTGACGTTATAGCAAAAAACGTGTAAATTACCGTATGCTTGACTGGAAACATTACAATTACTCTACTTCGTGTGATCCCCACCATGACATGTCAGGACGTATATTTGGACATATATTTAGTATATTCTGACATCCTATCTGACATATATTCTGGCATATATTCTGGCATTCTATCTGGCATATATCCTGACATTCCACCTGGCATTCTATCTGGCAGTCTATCTGGCATTCTATCTGACATATTTTCTGACATTTCATCTGACATATATTCTGGCATTCTAACTGTCATTTATTCTGACATATATTCTGGCATTCTATCTGGCATTATATCTGACATATATTTTGGCATTCTATCTGACATATATTCTGGCATATATGTTGGCATTCTATCTGGCATTATATCTGACATATATTCTGACATTCTATCTGACATTCTATCTGGCATTCTATCTGTCTATCTGGCATTCTATCTGGCATTCTTTCTGGCATTCTTTCTGGCATTCTATCTGGCATTCTATCTGGCATCCTATCTGACATTCTATCTGGCATTCTATCTGGCATTCTTTCTGGCATTCTTTCTGGCATTCTATCTGGCATTCTATCTGGCATCCTATCTGACATTCTATCTGGCATTCTATCTGGCAGTCTATCTGACATTCCTACATGAGGTCCGGCAGGGAACACTTGGCGTGGATACTCGCAGTTGAGGTCCGGCAGGGAACACTGGGCGTGGATGGTCGTGGTTGAGGTCCGGCAGGGAACACTGGGCGTGGATGGTCGTGGTTGAGGTCCGGCAGGGAACACTGGGCGTGGATGGTCGTGGTTGAGGTCCGGCAGGGAACACTGGGCGTGGGTGGTCGTGGTTGAGGTCCGGCAGAGAACACTGTGGATCGCGGGTCGCAGTTGAGCAAGGACGACGAGGACGACGAGGACGACGAGGACGACAAGGACGACAAGGATGACAAGGAGGACGAGGAGGAGGAGGACGAGGCAGGAGGAGGCGGAGGAGGAGGAGGAGCAGGAGGAGGAGGCAACTGACATAAAATCTAACAACCCTCACCTGGCAGGTGGGGAAAAACACTGTCAAAAGCAATGTTTTGGAAGGATTTACTGCCTTTATGGCAAAAAACGTGTAAATTACCGTCTGTTTGACTGGAAACATTGGAAAAACACTGTCAAAAACAATGTTTTGGAAGGATTTCTTATTGAAACTTCTTAGCTTGAAGAGCCCCCACGGGGGAAAACCACCCTTAGCCCCTCTCACGGACCGAAATAAACCTGCGGTGTGGGCGGCCACCCCACGCGAAGCGGGGTGAATTACAGTGTTTTTGGCCACCTGACCCTCAAAAACCGTGGTATTTGCAGTGGTTTCTGCTTCTCACCGCGCAAAAACACTGTAAATAACAGCAATTTCGCCGTTTTTTCATGTTGTTCGTTATTTTTTGAACTGCGTTGGTCCGCTATACATGGCTATCAAATTCTTCGCGTTTTTTTTTTCCCGACAATCAGTACTTTCGGATGTTTTTGGTCTCAATGGCCGACATCATTGGCAGTTACGAGCGGCTGCCCAACGATGCGGTGCGGGCGGTTGCCGTCGCGAAGCGACGTGAATATAAAATATGGGGGTAATCATTGATAAATGGTGGTTGATGATTCGTTGGGGATGATACTATCGAACTTATTGATACATATCGGGGATTCTCCTGGTCCTAATCCATTACGTAATAATGGTTCTGAAAACTGCTCATGTGTAGATGTACACACTTTTTTGGGGGCTTTCTATGTTTTGGATTATTTTGGTGCACATATTCATCAACATGGTATCTTAAGCCATTTAATTGCGGCAAAGCAACATAATTGCAATCTTTGATTTCTGTTTGCACACGAAGGATGGTTAAATTGGAGATTTTGCATACATGGAGAAGAGGTACTGTTCTGAAGTAGCTGGTTTTGTAAGGGAAGTCGCCCCGTACTAGGTATCTAAACATATCTCAAAACCAATATAATAATCTAAACTGGGAATGGGTTGAAACTCACTAAGGACCTGGCTTTTCACATGAAAATTTCGTGGCTTCTCATGGATCATCCCCGATTTGCACCGCGGCGCCAGGCGCACCCACAAGAGGACAAAGGGTGCGCTGCAGAAGATTTCGAAGGCCACCAGAAATGGCATGGTGGCCACGCAGGTCGGAAAGCAATTGTTGCCTCGTCTCAAAAATGGAGTGTATCACTATATGCATCCCACACAAGGAAAAAAAATGGTTGACAAAAAGTACAAGTAAAATCAAATCAATTAAAGCCATTCCCAAAAGAAGGTTGAAAAGTAGGACATCATCAAATCAATTTACAAGGGGGTAGGGATGTACTTTCCTATCTTTTTCAAGAGGATCTTGTTTTGCATCAAGAATCTAGTGTTTTTTGGGATACACTGTGTTTGGGCCAACTGCAGTGTTGACATGAAAACCCACTCAGGGCGGGTCAGAAATCCCTGTAGGTGATCGTCCATGGCTCCTCGTGATGGCCTGGCTCCAAAAGAAACATCTTGCCTTTTCCTTGCACCACTTCAAAGATCTTCAAAGCAACTTTGGAAGATTTGTTGATTTGCCACTGATCACAGTGGGTGGATCACTTGCTATCACTTGCTTTATGGCCTTGAAAAGCCTCGATCTGAGAGCCAACCACGGGCGTCTTTGCACTGCCGTAGTTGTCTACCTTGTACCGATTGGCTTCACAGAGATCGTGAAACGGACAATCCTTTCCCCTACAGGTTGGCAACCTGATAGAATTGATGCACACTGGATATCTGAATTCTGGTCGCCTCAATTACAGCACTCCCAACTCATCCCAGGACTTCTGCTCTGGGCCCCATGCGGAGAAGTGGTACACACCCGTGCCGAAATCTGCAAACTCCATGCCAGCAAGGATGGCCACACAGGAGTAGAAGAACACCTGTCATGTTAGAAGGCGAAGTCAAAACCGTTAAACTTGGCAGTAAATCGAGCAAATTCAGAGGCAACAGAAGTTAACATCTACGATCGAAGATGGTTCCAGACACATCAATTGAGCCATGAAAAATTCCCCTATCATCCCTATCCCATCCCATTATCACAGTGTACTCATTCATCAATAGTATTAATATATCCACATGATATCTCATAATGGGGTATACTTATCCACTTATCCCCAACAAACCAGATATTTTAGCTGGCATATTTTGGGTCAATGACGCCCTGATCAACTTCGGCCTGTGGCAGTGGCAAGGCAGACACCAACATCGAGACCTTCACAAAGCCCAACAGCAGCAGCACCTTTCGCCGATGGCTAGCTCCAAGGCATAGTTGGGGACATGTTCAGTCCATTTGTCCAGGAAGCCCCTTCCAAAATAGAACATGTATGAACAAGTTAATTGAAACTTACGAAACTTACCATGATTCCATAAATGATCTATAGGTTGTTTTTACTTGTCGACATCTTTTTATGGGGCTTGCTGCTTGCTGCTTGCTGCTTGCTGAAAGATCACTTTGGATCAACTCTAGGGATGTCTCGGATATTTTGATAGCTGGCACTGGCCCGTCACTGAACAAAATCCCTTGAACTGCTCTTCTGTCTCTCCAAAAATGGACCCAAAAGGCATCAAAAGGCTTGTGGATCTTGTGGGTCAAAGTTCAAGATGCTAAAAAAACACAGGTGAAATGGCCACCTTCAACCCTCCCATGATGTGCGGCTTCCCAATTTCGGCCGCAGCTACTCCAACCCTCGACCTTTCCCCCCATAAAAGCAGCAGCAGGCGGGCTTCCCCACAAACATCAGGGCCACAATACACCGCTGAGGCATAGAGGCGGAGAGCACATCTCCCTCGACCAGGGGTTTGAAGTAGTCATCTGCCTGTGGAGTATGGCATGGGATCCCTCAAGGCCTCATGGGTCGATAGCTTTGAACGGGAAATACTCTGCTGATTGCTGATACATTGATCTGGTTCCATGGGAAGTACTTAGAAAGGTAGTTTTTTGGGAACGTGCATCAGCCATGTGATTGAAGGGGAAGACAGCTCGGCCACTATCTTTGCTGCAAACACTGACCTTGGACCAAGACCACCAACATCCACCAACTACTCTAAGTCTTCGGACAAATGATGTGAAAAACCTGGCCCCATGGTCACACCAGGATACTAGATGGATACTAGTATATAGCTGGTATAGCCTGGTTTAGCTCGAGTTTCATCATGTTTCATCCATTCCAACAGTCCATCCAACGTCGGCCAACGCAACACCGCAACGCCGCAACGCAGCATTGCCTCACCAGACCGTGCTGGACCTCGCCGTGCTTTCAAGCCAATCCGCTTGGTACTGCTTGGCCTCCAACCGCCAACTCAAAGGGACCCATGGATCCTCCATTCTCAGAAAATTGAGTTTTGAATCTGTGGTCTTCATTTTTCCTGTAAAACTGTGCGTTTCATGTCATGTCAGTTTCGCGTCAGCTTCTATGTTTGAGAAGCCACATTGAGCCAACAAGTTGCTTGGGGCTTCCTCACACTCACTGGAACGACTTCACACCTTCAGATTTCAGCTTGAGATATATAAAAATGCTGTGGGAGTCCAGCACCTGAACTCATTTGGAATTGCTTAAGGGTGCCATTAAAAACAGAAGAACGTTCCCCTAGTTGTCCGCACCACTGCAGCAAACGTGGCCTGAACATCTGACATCGAGCCCAACACCGTCGCACAGCGCCTGGCTTGCTGAGTTGCACCCAATCATATGCGGATATGAGATGATGCCATCATTTTGGGAAATATGTTTATATAGACAATGGAGTTTGGACTACCCTATGTTCCGGCAAAGCCAATATCAATGAGTGGGTATTCATGGGAAAATCTAGAGGACACTTGAAGCTCTATGTAGTGTCCTGTCTTCCTTACCAAAACCACATCAAACCATGGTCCAGTACTAACTGCCAGGTAGCCTCAGGAAGGCCCAAATTGATTCCAACAATTGTTTTGTCCAAACACTGGGTATCCCAAAGTTTCCCACCATTTATCGCAGCAACTTTGCCATTTCAAGCCCCAAATGAACAAAGTCCACAAACGATCGGGGCTCAACCCACCTGGCCTGGCAGGAACAGCGCAGCAGAAAGGTATGCCCCTGGCCAGCCTGGCGAGGGCCGGGAAAATGGTGGGTTATTGTATCGCCATCGCCATGGCTTGAAAAGTGTAGTCACTACTAAAAACTGAGCAGAAACCGTTACCAATAGCCACCTTGATATGAGGTGTATCTCTTATATAATATAAATATAGATGATTTTAGTGTCAGGTACTGCCAAAAAAAAAAATGAGCCATTTCCAGCAATGGCCTGGTAGTGCACCCCGTGACCGCGGCAAGCGCGACGCCGTTCGATGACCGGACCATGACGCCGACCGAACCAACGGAACCTGTCGAGAGCAGGGTGAAAAAGTGGTACAGTCCGAGTCTCCTAGCCCAAGCTCTATACAGGTCTTATGCACTTCTTCCACACAAATGCATTTCGACACATTTTGGCAGCAATCAAAGGCTATTGCAAATGATTCTGTGGATTATGAGTTCTTGCCCTTGCCAATCCATGACCAATCTTACTAGATACAGTGCAAGAAAAAGAATATTCGCTCATTTTTTGGGCAACAAATGCAAGGATCGACTATCTAACCACTCAACCAAGGCTTACCCAGAATCGTGGGGACTCCCCCCCATCCACTTTGACCTGCTGGGGCACAACACTCATCCGAGGCGCCGTCGCAACCATTGCAGAATCGGCCCACATGATGGTGAATTTGATCGATGGCTATATGGCTTAGCTGGATGTTCATCCCTGAATTATGGTATTGTGTTGGTTTTGACTCATCCCCATATGTTGGATCGTACTGCTGCAAATGCTGAAGCTCTTAGAAGCTCTCTGTCCTCATCCCAGAAATGTTGTCAGAGAGCCATACTGTAAGGGCTACTTGTGCAGGGTTCAGGTCCGAGCCCCTTCCAATCATTGTCTTGTTCTCGGTGATCGCCATCAACATAGCTGGATAGTATTGAAGCAGCTGCGGCAGCGAGCAGCCCCTTTCACAACTTGGGCAATGCTGCCATACATGAGATATCCGTCAAGTCAGTGGTTGCACCTGAAACTGCATGTTGATTCAAAAAACACCAAAATCATTTGAGTGGGGGGTCTGTAAGTTTGACATAGTTTGACGCATACCACCTCAGAACTGTCTGCATCCACTTTCCGGAGACTACGAATGACTCGTTGCGATTCTGCGATGCACAACATTTTGCGATTGCAATGCCGTGTCGAGAGCAGCACGAATGCCACCCAATTTGCTTCGCTTCTCCTGCAGATGTAGGAACAAGCGCCTGGGACTGGGAGACCATCAATGCCATGTCTTTTGAGGAGCTTGTTGATTGCCGAGTGTCAGACATGGACCTGCGGTGAGCATCTAAATCGTTTCTGTTTCTGCTTCTGCTTCTTCTTCTTCTTCGTCTTCTTCTTCTTCTTCTTCCATGAGCAATGAAGTTCAAGACTGCGCTCTAAATCTAAACCGTTTCATTGAAAATGACTATATTGATGGTATTCATTTGCCCATGTTCTCTACTTTGAAACTACTGGGATGCTCCCTGAAGCTACAGTGGCAAGCGGATTGTTACAGACTGACTTATGGTATTTAAATATATATATATGTTTTTATTTATTTATGTGTATTATGTATGTATATATATATACATAGAGAGAGAGAGAGAATCATATATGCCAGTATTTGTATATCCCAATATACCACAATTTATCCGAATGTCCCCGCAAATTATGGGTTCTGACCCACTATCCATGGAACCTCACTTCATGGATCCTCCCGCCAAGTGCATCATGGCTCCTTCTCGGAGGGTCTCAAGCCACACTTTGGTCGGACCCAAACCCTGACATCGGCAAAGGAGCTCATCAAAATATCACTAAATTAATCTAAATTACATGATTTCAAAATTCAATTTTGCTAAGGTGGTGGATCGCTATTGGTTTTTCACCTTGCAGCCAAACCTGTATCTTCAGATCAAACAGGCAGGCCTCTGTCATGTCTGTGAAGACGTGGTTCAAAAGCACCAACGTGTCCTCCCGAGTCGCGAAATGTTGAGATCTATTGAGATGTAATGAGTTATATAGATATGCTAATTCCCAACACAACCTGCTGGTACAACAGTGGTGATCAGAATATATTAAGTTCTTTGTGTTTCAAGCAAAGCCTCCCCCAGAATAACGACCTCAATGAGTCCTCTGTGGCCATCTGCAGGCACAGCAGCACGTCGAGTTTCACTGCCTGGCATGGGAGAAATTCTGCAGCTGGAGGCGCTTTCAGGTGGTACCCCACCCACCCCTTGTGCTCATCTGGGTATTGATCAAAAATACAGGATCCGATGCAGGAACAACCATCCACTTTTGGGTACCCTGATATTGAATGCCTAGGCATATCACCATGGAACCATTGGCAGCAACGATAAGGGCAATGATGTCCTCGTAGGCATGGTTCCCATCGATGAAAATCAGGTCAAACTCAATGTGCCGAAACCTCACTTTATAGCTGTCGCTGATGTTTTTTTCTGAAGAAAAGAGCCCTTTGCACTCTGACGCGCAAAAACATGAGTCGTATTTACGCGGTCTGTGGGTGTGTGTATATACTGTATGTATAATTGTGTATATGTATATATATACACACACACTTTCATCACAGTGGCGCCGGTGGCCACTGTCTCTACCATTGCTTTTCCTTCATGCGCATCCCTCGAGGTCCGGACCGTGGCAACATCTCAGCAGAGTTGCCTTCCAACAAAATGTGCGTCTGGTCCTTGTCCTGGCGCGAAAACATGGGGTCCATCCTTGAGCACCACGAACATCCATGATTTGGATATGCGGCCATGGGTCAGAAATCTCAAAAACATCTTGCTGCCCCGAACATCAATAGTTTGTGGACCCGAAATGTCAAAAGACCATGTGTGCCATCATGTGCCATCCCACTCTGCCCAATTTTGAACCCCAAACCTTGGCTATTCTGGAGACAACCTCTTCTAGCGGCCGTGTGTACCTTGAAATCCCACCAAGGCCGGAAGGGGGGTGCGCCAGGCCGAGGTTCGCATCTCCAATCCCGAAATTACCGGATCTTGATGGTCTTCATCTTGACCATGTTATTTGTTGATAATGAACATGTATCATGTATTTTGATCTATTATCATATATTATCATTCATATAATCAATAACAACCTTATTATCATACTATTATCATACTAGTAATAGTATGTAATAACAAATATAACGAATCATCTGTCAGACTGTCATCGTCATCATCACCGTCACCAGCGTCATCTGCTGCCCTCCTTCCGGGGAGCCCGACCCGTGTTGACCCAGGTCCAAGGAGAGGAGCACGCTCCCTTCAGGGGCCTTAGCCATCAGATATGGGCTTTCCATGGGGCCTCCCCAATAGCTGGATGGTTTATTTCCATGGGAAATCATGGAAAATCCCAATCTAAATAAAATGGATGATAACTGGGGGTAGCCCTATTTTAGGAAACCCCAGTATGGATCCATATGGATAATCATTATCAATGGATAATCTATGGATATTGCTGATGATAATATCATAGTACTGATGATTTATTGACAGGAATAAGGTTGATATATAGGTTGATGACTTGCAAAGCAAAGTACATGTTTTGTTTTGCATCTGCATATAGACATGCGAGACCTATATAACCTGCAATGGATTATTGCTGGTACTTGTAACCAATTGGTGATTCGCCACCAAAACATCCTATCCCGCCTGATCCAGCAATGCAGCCGCACTGTGCCCTGCATTGAATCCTAGGCCAAAGTGGCATCCATGGGGTCATCTTCTCAGGATGGAACTCTGCCACGGGATTGGGTCAGAAATAACATGTGAAACTGTGAAACAGAAGCGATCAGCCAGCTTCATTGCCAGGGGCTTCTTAATGGAGTTGCCAACTTCGGAAGGTCTCGTCGCATTTTGTGGTGGGTCATGGAATATACTATACTCATCTGTATCTTCCGCCCCGGTCAACTGGTAGACAATCCTGTAGTGATCAAAGAATAGAAAGGCGGGATTTCAATCTCCTTATCCAACTTATCCAAACCGGGTCCAAACCTCCCCACATTTCCGATGGTTTCCGATGGTTTCAAGTTGCTCCAAGGCGCCAATTTGACACATCCTCAAGCCGCCCTGAAACTGCGGCGAGCCGAAGCGCTCGGCGACGAAGCTACGAAGGAACTGGGCAGTGTTGGGCGCCGGGCTTATTTCAAGGGGAAAAGGATGTGAAAATCCACCAGATTTGGGGAGTTACAGTATGTATACAGTATGTATATGTATGTATACCATGGTCACAATTTTCAATCAAGCACAATTGGTATCTGGCGATACAGCAAGACTTGAATTTGGGCCTCAAATGTTGACCCGATTTGACCCGTGTCGTGGCAGAAAGATCGTTCTTCTTTGCACATTCCTCCTATTCGCTTTACCTGTTCATCCTGTTCAACTCCAGCAATCGTTTGTATTAATCATATTGGTTGGTAATAGTATGGGTCAAAAGTTCATGCTTCAGAAAACACGGAAGTTGATCGATTTTGTCAGCAAACCTCCCCATTTTTTGAGGCACGTTTGATGCAAAATCCAATGGCAATTCGGCCGTCGCCTCAAGCTGCTCTGGTGCGCAATGGCCTTCCATCTCCTGTGAAATGAAATGCCCCTGGAAAGCATTGGAAAGCTACATGGCCATGGCAGCCGAGTCGAAAAACATCGAAAAACCCTAGTATCCTGGTGCACGGTGAAGCTAGCAGGTATAGCTGGATGATGCTGGATGATGCTGGATGATGCTGGATGATGCTGGATGATGCTGGATGATGCTGGATGATGCTGGATGATGCTGGATGATGCTGGATGATGCTGGATGTTCATCCCAAAAAATGTCCGTTTCTGGTTCTGGATCTGATCGTCTTTCGGCAGTTCCCGTCCTCCTGTTGTGCCTCAGGGCACGTGGAAACAGCTTCTCTCAACATCTCCAAGGCAAGACCTGGCACGAGGCAGAAATGGTGACAAAGAATCAAACTCAATGGACACTGATCCATTTGGCCATGGGTCAAAAATCAAACTCGAAGGACCATGAAGGACCCCACCACTATCTAAGGAAAAGTGTTTGATCCGTTGATAAACCTCAGCCCAAGGTTCAGGCTTTGAGGCAGGGAGGGTAGGTGCATCTCTTGCCTCGGGAGAAAATCCATCGCTGTGGTGCTGTGCTGCGGTGCAATTTGGGGGTGCACAAAACATCTCTGGTGTGACTCAAACACCTGGTTTTTGGCATTGGAACATTGTTTTGCATTTCTTGCACATGCCAAAAACCGGTCAATCCGATAGCCTGATCCAATGTCACAACGCTGAGGGTGATGCTACGCATTTCGTGGTTCCAGACTTGGTGAAATTGGATAGATACCCGTAGACTGGCCATTTTACTGGGGCATATGGTGACATGATGACTATAACATCTATAACTTGTCTATAACATACTACTGTATAACATTGTATAACCATTCGACCATCTGGGGCTATTCGACGATTTTCCAGACATCTGGTGAACCATCTGGGCGTCCCAGCAGCAATCGCAGAGCATCGAGGCGAACTTTCAGCTCGTGTTGAGCCTGAGACACCCAGGGGATCCCAACATTAACAGGGTATCAACGGTATCAACCATCACTAGTCAATAGATGTCAATAGTATTCATCCATGTTCCCTGATGTTCCCTGTTAATCAATGTTAATCAGAATCTGAAGATTAACCATCCGATTCTATGGGGTGCCACCCAAATGTTTCACCCGTTTCACATTCTCCGCCGGTCACGAATCACCTCTGGGGTGCCAACATCGTTCGCTTCGGCCTCCTGTGGCTGGCAAAGATCTCAGGTGGAGTTTGTTTGCTGATTCCAAATATATTATATCAATGAATGTCAATGATACATTAATATATTATGATACCATTAATAATATCAAATATGTATCATAGATATCAGGTCATTATACATAAATGTCAATGATATTCAATGAATCCTAATGAATCTCTATCCTCAAAAAGCAACATGGTTGCAGTCGCTGTGTTTTTTGGTACCCCGGACCTGTGATTGGAAACACCCACGCTGCTGTCCTGTGGTCTTCTCCACAAAGTTGGTCCGGCAGTAGACTGCCTTCCCCGCATTGGGGGCCCAGGGGGATATATGGCTATATCATATCTGAAGCGACTGTAACATGTGCTTGCCCCACATCCATACTGGGAAACTGGGAAAAAAAAACGAGGCTACTAGTCAAACGGTGCCGGAACTGAACTTCTTCCACTGGGGCGGTGCTTGCAAGCTACTGATAGGGTGTGACTGATACATCACCCATCAAAAACTTGGCCTACTGATAGAAGGCCGGCCAGTGGCAGTGCCGCGACAGAAGCCTCACCAGAACAATTCCCAGGCATCAAAAATGGGAACAAATGCGTTGTGCAGTTCTTCTTCAGGATTAGAAAGCCCTGGATTTTCGGGCCATGTCCTATCAAAATCAATCAATATAAACATACTTCATGTACTGCATGAAGTTCCAATAGGTGGATCAACTAAAGCTATCTAGATTTATCTGGCAATCTGCAGCTTCGTTGGCCTGGCAGGACACCCAGCGGCAGGGCCTTGTCAAGTGGATAAAGTTCATCACAGAGACCCTCAAAGATCAATCAAAGATCCTCCAAAAAATGGTTCGATGAATAATTTTTGCCAGTAAGACGAAGTGGATAAGTGATGATAAGATATGATAAGTATGGTCTGGTAATGGTTTTAGTATGGTTTTAGTATGGTTTGTGGGGGCATTCCACCATTTTTGGTCCAGCAATGTGTCAATTCCTTGCTGGGCTCCTGGGTTTCCAGTCGACCACTAAGGGCTCCACCAGGATCCCGGCATGGCCCTTGGATATGTGCCTCCTTGGACCAGCTTCAAGTGGGGCCAGGGTGAAACGACCAATGGAAATGGATGGAACTGGATGAAATCATACCTTTGTTAGAGGAAAATGGATGGAACTGGATGGAACTGGATGGAAATGGAGGAAAGCCATGAGCACCTCAAGTAACATAAGTAACTGAGAAGTTGACGACTGGGATCAACTCTTCTCTCCTGCTGCCACTCTTCACAAGCGGCCAGTTCAGCGACAGTCGCGATGGGACGGGTCGCGGGAAGGTGGCCAGCATGAGGTTTAGCTCGTTGCTTTGAACCATAGGAAAATTTGAAATTTGGTGCAGTAAATAGTTGTAGTGGTCAATGTTATAAACTCTGAAATTATTCATTTAATTTATCATGATTTATCATGATCTATCATGATCTATCATGATCTATCTATGTATTTGCTCGTGCATTTTATGACTAATGCATATCTCATATATTGTCTGCCTTCTTAACTTCTTATCTGATAATTCATATGCCTATGTTTCTTCATCTATAATCTATAATTCCATTTTTGTTCATGTTGACAAGTCGATTTCCCTTCCCAGGGGATCGCCCGCACAGGCTCTGAACCGAAAAGCTCCCCAAGATCTTGAAAGCTGCACTCCTGGTCAAAACCATGGCAAAATCTAATGAGCGAGTTCTTGAACTAAGACTGAACATGGCTAAATCCGGCGACAGCACACACCGGCCCATTTCCTCGCTCGCCGCGGAGTTCATTATCTGGCATATCTTTAGATTGCCATTGTAAGCAATTAGACAAGCAAAACTGGCCACACCAGTCAGGATAGCTCCTCAGCCTCCAAGTGTTCGCATGCGACGCAAAGCAAGGATTTATAGCGCGCTATAGGTGCAGAGTGATGTGACACCTCAGGCCTCAGTCCATCATCATCGCTTTCCGCTTCTTGGCATCTTTCCTCAGCCCGAAAGAAGTATAGGACTTGTGAATGGACAGCCTGGACAGCTTCAACAATCTCCAAATAAGATCAACTTTCAATGCTTCAACTTTTTGCAGTTCTGGTTGGTGGTTGGGCTATCCGTCCCAATGATATACACGTCATGTTCAGGGAGGAACATCCATAAAGTACAGGGAACCACCAATCAGGTCTACTGGCTACATCACTGAGGCTATGTCCCCAATTCAGTGGTAGTTCATTCCCCTGTTTTTCAGTGAACCGGGGAACCCCAACAAAAATCTCCAAAGTCAATCGTGGCTTGGTTTTTTTGGGGGGTTCGGCTCCACTTAGGCATGCACTGGCCCTCTTTGATGTAGCGGTTCTTCTTCGCCTCCTTTCTGTGAGCATCCCGCTTCTCTTGGATGAAGCGATCCTGAACTTCCTTCACCTCAACGGATAGGGATCCCATCCCTCAACTAACATGGCCTGGAAAATCCCCCAGTGGTGGTGATTTTCGCATAGTATGCCCATTTACAGGGATCATTCCATCTCATTCCCATGTTTGATTAGCAATTACCAGAAGGCATATGATTGCCAAGCAAGCCGTTTCCCATTGCCAAGTTGAATTGCCATGAATTACCATAGTCACCATGCAGAATGCAATGGCCATATCTCCTCTGCATCTTTCCCAAGTTCTGCGTATGTTCATGTTGCTCTCACCTTCTTCTTTCGCTCACTTGATTCTTTTCTCACCTCATGCCAGTTGTAGCACCCTGTCAGCCACACGCTAATACATCTTTACACATTTTACACTGCTTTTCAACACAATCTCTACATCTCTTGGTTCCCCATACGCGAGCTTTTTCTTTGCGGATCGTGTAGAGCCTCCAGGTGCCCCAGTCGACCATCGAGCTCTGAGGGACCAAGGGCTACCGACTACAACACGACTGACATCTACTGACTATAACACATATGATACACATATGATACACACATATGACATCATATGATTATTTCAGGTTGTTTGAGGCCGTTTCAGGTCAATTATACCTATTGAATCCTATTGAATCCTATTGAATCCTATTGACCTATCAACAAAGAACGATAAAGAACTTTCCATTCCACGCTAAGTCATATAACCAAACTCTGCCTTGAGAGAAGAGAGTTCACCTCCTTTTCACGCTCGCTAGACACCTCAGTTTGGCCATACTCAGCAGGTGAAGGTGTTTTTCTTCAGGAACCATGGAGTTAGTATGGCCAAATATGTGAGGGTCAGGGTCCTCTGCATTTTTTGTCCTTCAATGAATTCTTGTGCATGCTGAAACAAGAAAACGAACGGCATATTCGCTCTTGGAATCAGTATGTATGTCCATTCTTCCAACAGAAAGCGTCTTAAAAACATAAACCCATGAGCCACAATCCTTTGGGCATCGTAAAACTGAAGGCTGAATCACCCCATTTCTGAGGCCTTGGCAATGGCTGCTTTTCTGCTGAGGGCCGTTTTTTTCTTCTTCGGCTGGAATTTCTCCTTTGATCTGAAGGGCAAGGTCGCCTGACACGTGCACTGCATTGGTTTGAGGTTTCTCACTCCAAGAGCCAGCTGGAAATAGTTTTTGCACACGGCAATGGAATGCAATGGATCAATACCATTCAAAAGTCCCATAAGTATTCGTGTTTAGGGGGATGAACATCCATAAATTTTAGCTATTTTGATGTTCACCAGCTTCCTGGGTGCCATGACTCCCCTGACCTGTTTCCTGCAACGGTGACAGTCGCTTGGCACAACTTGGCACCGCTTGGCACCTGCAGTTTCTTGGGAATCTTCAAGGAATTGAACCTTCGCTCAGCACGAACCAGCTGCTTCCCGTAGTGGCCTTGGAGGCTCCGGCAGCTCAAGCTCCAAAGATCTCCAAAGTAAGATTAGTAAAGATTAGTCATTATTGATCACCATTATTGATCACATTTGATCACATTTGATCACATTTGATCACCATACCAGATATGGCAGGATTATGGCAGGTATGGATGGAAATGATATGAAATGATGCCAAAGAAAACCAAGAAAAAGCACTTCGCAAATGCCCAACTGTTGGGGCTCCAGCTATCTTTTTGATCGGGAACAAGAACGCCTCACGATGCACACCCATTCTCCAGCCAAGGACATGAAGACCTATTAGGACTAGGAACCGTGGCTCACACCTGGCAAACACTTTCCCACGTATTTATTCTGCAAGTCCAACGAAAACATTTTGCCCGCCTGGTGCGAAAACACACGAGAAATACATAGATAGTCAGAAGACGCAAAGAGATGGGATCACGCTGTCGCTCTCCATATATTTCCTCTACAACCTGTGGGGAGGGTTCACCACTAATCACTGACTATATACAGTACTCAGTAATTGAATCCTATTTACCCACCAAAAATGCGATGCGTCCCGCCCCCCGCAAACATCATCATATCATACTCGCACATGTTCAACTCCCCAAAACTTGGAGTGTTTAATCACAAGAAAAAAAACACATCAACCCCAAAATAGGTTGAATGGTCTTACAACCAAAAATGACTATTTCTGTCTACTAAACCAAACATGACCAAATTTGTGGCACGTCTTGAAACATTTGGGTACCCGGTACCCCCAAATTTGATGCCCAACTGGCCTTTTTCG